TCTCCAACATCTACGTTCTTAGTTCATTTCTGTAACTTTCGAACTACTGCAAATTTTATAGCGACACTCAAGGTCGCGCACATTCAAATGGTGATAGAAATGAACTAAGAACGTAGATGTTGGAGATAAAGTCAGGAACAAATACACCGTACTCATAACCATCCATATACAAGTATGCTATTGCAAGCTGAAATGGGTTTTCAAAATGAGGGTGATGTTGCACGAGTTTGGTCAACACCTGTACAAACTATCTCAAGTAGACTGAGCCAAAGGAGTTTGTCTTGGTGAAATGAAACAACATGACCCCAGATTCTGCTCTCGGAAAGTCGTAGTTTACAGGATAAATTTCGTCGTATACATAGAGAAGAAAGTGTGAGGTGGAACTTTCGGAAGCATTCCCACTACAACTGTCTTTGTCCTTGTCGGATCTCGGCCGCGGTGCGAATTCATCGTAACAGTTGCTGGATCGAGTCTTTGAACGCCCCCCCCGCTAATGTTATCTTGTTTAAAAACTGTGACATGAACTACCTTACTCACATGCTCTTAATTAGACTGACGGCCTGGGATTCGACCAACCCAGGGCCGGAAATTTGTGGTGACATTCACGGTTGGAAACCACATTGAAACAGATCTAAACGAACTGCCCAGTGTGACCGAGGGAGTCACTTTCTACGAGATTCCTGTTCCTCAAACCGGTGAGATAACTTTGTGTCAAACTGAGCTCCTGAACTCTCTCTCTCTCTCTCTCAAAGTATTTGTTCCTCCATTTCAGTGATTTGTTGAGCTATGACATAGGCCACCTGAGTCGACCCAATATTATCCATTTGAACTGGATTCTTCAGAATAACGCGTGAGTAAGACAGAGAGAGAAGCTACTGAGTCATCTAATCAGGAAACTGAGTTTCACTTAACCTAAATTCAGTCTAACTGGAATATTACACAATATATAGAACAGGATTTGGTAAAATAACTTCTCAATCTCTTCGGGAAACTGGCTACGTTTTCAGTGCGGTTCATGAAGACGAACGACGTCGAAAATTTTGATTACAAAGAGCTACAGCACAATGGTTAGAGACCAAAGCTTATTGCTAGATGCATATTGAACACTACGGGTTGGATCACGTAACTTACATGCATAAATCGGAGCCGGAGCAATGGTGTTCGGCACGCCATTCGACCGATACGGTCCAATTACAGTCCCAGCTTGAGTGGAATTCAACTGGTTCAACAGAGCGGCGCTTGATACTGCATCCAACACGGCGGATGCCCCAAGACCTGGAGCGCTAACCACAGGAGAAGTGACGGATGTGAACGGGGTTGACTGTACAGTATCTAAAGAAGCCAAATTGTAGTAACAACCGGCTGAACTGGAAGCTTGCGCGACGAATTTGCTCCCACCCACAGGTTGTGCAAGCGGTGCACCGAGGCGAGTGGAAGCCGAAGTTATTCCTGGGACAAACTGGGTATTTGTATCCAACGGTTGGGGAAAACCGGAGTGGGAATGCGATGAGGAAGGGATTGAATAAGGTTGTGTGCGCGTATGAGCGGTCGGACCATAACGATTCACATCGGATGGTGGTACTTCGAACAATGAGACAGGGGCTTGGGAAGAACTCGACTGGTTACTAGTTTCATGCTGGGTGCCAGCAGTGCGTAGTTCAGGCTTGCTTGTTCCACTGGGGAAACTTGCATGACGCAGAATATTCGCATCAACTTCGTTCGCGTCCGACTGAGGTTGAAGTGAAACGCAACGATTGGGGATAGTGCCGTTTCCGCTCCCCGGACGCGGACTCCACAGGATTCCAGCCCGGTCGGTTTCATCGCGAAGCGTTGATTCAACAGTACCGGCACTGTAGATTCCACTGGAAAGGTCTAAAAATAAATCGAGATGGGCAAACTTGTGTGAATGTTGCCAGGTATTAGAGTAAACTATAAGAACGATTAGTGTTCATAGTGAACATAGGAATGGTCTTGTTCATGGTATTGAACCGGACGAAAGCAGAGCGGCCTACCACCAAAGTCGGGTGGCGGGGCTCGAACCTCGGACTATAGGGTTCAAAGCATGCCGGTGACAGTGACTAAACCACCGCGCCACCACCACCTTTTAGTTGAGGAGCATTCACATTCACAATATGCCTGGGCGACACCAGGGTGGAAAATGGTGGATATTTTCGGTGATGCTTTGCTCACAAATTCGTACCGAATATGAGGCAAAAACATTATTCCTGTTCAAAGTGAACATAGGAATAATCTTGTTTAGACTTCTAAAATTCAAAATCACAAAAGCGTTCCAGCCTACGCTTCGTATTTATTGTGTACCACACACACGAATGATAATTTATTAGCTATGTAACACAAAAGCTTTTAACATTTTGGCATGAAAGCCTAAATGAAGGAAAACAATACGGTTTAAGATAAAGTATCTAAAGTGCCATCACGAAGCCGCAGTTTCTCTCAGAGTGGATCAGGTATCGTTTTTACTAGAGGATATAGTTTCGGAGAATGCGTCTTTTTAAGCATGTGCCACGGGAGTCCTGTTCACTGTATTCCCGTGGAACTAAATGGGAGAGACAAAAAGTCAAATTTTGTGGGATACGAACAGGCAGATCATCTAACCGAGCTAGTAAATACTGATTCCAAACGTCCCAAGAATAGCCATAAGGGTTTGCTCCAGGACATCCTGGTAACAGGAGTCATTGAATTAGTTGGACGATGGAGTAGACATGGCACTAAGTACGTGTGACTATCAGAGGAATATACCCGGAGACAATAGTATCCTACACTTCTGGGGCTCATTTCGACACAGATTTTGGAAATATCCTCTACTAGATACCGTGAAATAATAAGCACGTGTCATCAGAATAACTCCAGAGAAGGTGAATCGAAATGTCTCTGACAAGGGGGAGTGTGCAGTGTGTACAAATTGACCAAGTGATACAACCAGGTTTATGGTATCGTGATGTACAAGGTAGTCATCGCAAAAGGAGAAAAGCGCATGGGCCTCCCCCGAAGAGCAAAAATGGTTATCGTGCTATACGTTAAGTGGAAATTTTGCCCGGAGGACTGGGCACTGAGGCCTTTACAAACCAGCCCGCTGGGGGCATGACAGTGTCGCAGACCGGAACAAATTGTTGACTAATTTCTCCCTTATGATGGATGAACCAGACATTTTATTTGAACCATTTTGGACCCAAACATGGGTGAAATGCAAAAGACCTGAAAACCTCGCGGCATAGTGGTCGTTGTTGTTGTTTTCGGTATACCCCTGTGCCAGCATTCCCAAAGGTGTTTACCGGATCCGGTTTTGGTGATGAAAACCCCAAAAAATCCCATCAATTCATGTTACGTATGAGAGAGAAACTTTTCCGGGCATTGCTGTGACTTAGGTGACCCAAATATTGATCCAACCAGTATTGGGATCACATACAGGAACACAAGCACAGCAAAAATAATTTCGCATTTGGCGTCATAAAAAATCAATTCTACAAATAAGCAAAATTGTGAAGGAAGGACCCTGCTACTAACAAATGCCACTTGATGTTGCATTTTTTGCCAAGTAAACAACTGGTAATTCTGGTTTCAGACAAAAGATAAGAATATCGGACGATAGAAAGGGAGTAGGACAGAAGAGCAGTGTGAAATGGAATGCTATTTTAGTGTGCCGTTCGATAAATGCGTGGATGGCTGATCGGTGAAATCAGACAGAGATTATCAACGCAAATAATGAGATGAATCACAGTAATGACGACCTTGTGAGAATGACGAGAGGAAAAAGGATCAATTAGGGCGCGGTGTAACCTGCGACATGAAAAGGACAAACAATTTTCTGGAACGCATAAAATGCAACGGTTCACATGAATCCCTAGTCTATGGTCATTAAACTATTCAGTTACATCGGGAAATGAATGATCTTTCGGGACAAACGAGAGAATTGTATCGGGTACCCAAAGAAATCGAATTGGTGCATAAACAGAAAACACGGTGCACGCTCGTGGATTGGGTCGACCATTATAAACCAACTAATAGTTGATTTCTAATTAAATAAATAATAGATAATCTGTTTCATTTGGGATTCCCAAATTGAGCTGAGATATACTGAAGAACGCAGAATTAAAGAGTTCGGCGGCACCGTCCGAAGTTCAGCAGGTATTCATTGACATAAGATCGGCAAACTTCTACCTTAGTTATACTTCTATCAGTTGATACTAGGTCTCTTTCTGAAATGGAGGCATAAGGCCTCGGAACCGGATGGTGGGGCACAGTTTGAATCATGGAGTTGGAAAGACCTATGGGTTTGACATCGAAAGTACTCAAGGTCTAGATGAACGGTGTGAGTCATTCGTTTTACCGATTTGCATGAAAAGTGACAGATCCTCTGGTCAAAACCACAAAGCAATTAGTTTGACCAATAGTCCTACAGTTTCCAATGAGAATCATACTCCAGCAATCGCTTGCGCATGCAAATAGGGCTCATATGTAAAACAGGCTGATTTTAGACCACATTTCCTCCCTTCGCAAAATTTTGGAACAGAAATTTCTACCAAAGACCCATAAATCTATCTACTTTGATCAAAAACCAACCTGTAACTTAGCTAAGGGCATGGTACTCTGAAACGGCATCTCCTTAAAAGGTATTTCGCCGCGAGCTTTGGCTGTCCGTGAAAGGTGAGAGTATGCTGCAACTGTCCGGCCGCTTCGCACATGTGGCGCAGATACATGTCGGCTACGATAGAAGAATAAAAACTAACTATCGGTATGCACATACTGCTATCTACGCCGCATCGCTTGAGTCCGAACGGGGAATCAAAAGAACAATGCTGAGTTGAGACGACGAGATATAGGTAATCGCGGTTGTACGGTGAAGTGATCTTGATGGATTAAGATTACCGGAGCATGCATCACGCATGTCAGCGATTAGCCGAACTCGACATGTGATGATTACCGAGGCAACTAACGAGCGGAAGGCCAACAGTGGACAAACCAAACCTTTGCGAGAGGTTATGAAAACCAGGACCAGAGGGCTTAGAAATATGGATCGTGTTAGGCTTCCCGATTGGGGATCTCGGCATCCGTCATATTAATAGTTAGATACTAGGAGATACGACTGAGAGTAGTAAACAATGACGTTTAACCCCATCAAATAACAGTAAACAGTGGCACTAGTCGACATAAATAAATAAATGTTTCATTTCCTTGTGATTTATTGAGTTTCCAAATGTTGAGTCAACTTTCAGCAAGGGGCCGCGGCTATGCAAAGGCTGTCGGGAGAAATACAGAACTGGAGAAGATGGACGTTGGTGGCAGCGTTCGAACTCAGGACCCCTAGGTCACTATTTTGATGACCTTAGCCACTAGACCACCGAGACCAGGGTACAATTCTCGCAAATTTAGTTTAACTAAATTCTGTATCCTCACCCTAGTACTGGCCCATATAATGAACGAAAAAGAATTATGTTTNTATGTTTTCTATGATCGACTATTCTCAAAAACCACTTCAAATAGGAACAACAACAAGAGCCACAGATACACAGTCAACGAAAAGAGCGTGATTAAAATGAACTGGTGAAACAACACAAATTGGAATAGTCTCCATCGTGCCCATACGACGGGGGTGCGTGGACAAATGCAGCTGGGATGAGCGCAGCCGGCCGAAAAATGATTAACTACTCTTTGAGACACTCAAATTTGACAAGCGTACTCCATCAGATGAGCAAGGTTGCACGATAAAAATGAATTTGAAAACTGTGATCGAAGATAGAAAAAAAGAAAAGAAAAACGCCGGACAATACACAGCTAGAGCATCATCATATGGAAAGTCTGTTTTGAATACAGGTTCGTCCCACAGTGCCTTTCGTCCGTGGAATTTTCGGTCATTTATCTATCGAACCCGAGCAACAAGAATCGATTTGTTGCTTACAGCGACATTGTCACCAAATCGGTTAGAACCACGGTGGACAGGACAGGCAGTGTTGTGAGAGCATGACAGTAGAGAGGCAAACGAACACCAACAACTGGTCCATGGAATTTCATTCAGTCGACATTTATTAGTAGTGAAAAGAAACCGAACGGATCAGTGTGAATAGGTTTCCGGTCGCGCCCCCTATTCATCCCTTTTGCCCCCAACATCAGTCAGACAGTGAATCGATTGGTACAGACGACATGCACAAAACGGATAGGAAGTTATTTGGTATTGGTGATGCGCACATGTAATTTTTTTTACTTCAGGGTTTTGACTTTGCGTACTTGTGAGATGTTTGGGGAATGTGGGGCTGTGAAGAAAACTGTTTGCGCGTTAATACCCGTAAATAGAGACCCACGAATGAGCGCGTAGGTCCTCTGTACAGACATACACATCCTGTCGCATTCGCTGCAAATCCCATTTGAATTACGAGCGAATAATGGATGGGGGTAGGAAAACAAAACAAACGGAAAAATGAAGCGTTATTTTTTACGAAGCGTACAAAACATATATGGATAGATCGAGAAAAACCACGTGTCCTAAAGTTTTACACCAATATACTCCGAAAACGGATGCGTTGATAATTTGATATTCGAGAAAGAACTTTCAAGCATTGATGGGAGTTGAAAACAAACGGGCTGAGGTCAATGAGTCAAAGCGGGAAAGGTTGTGAATGAGGACGAGAAAAAATCCTGAATAGCCAGACTGGTTGCGCGGCCGTACTATGATGACATTGTTTTTAGATGACTGTTTTCGTATGACCTCAAACCCCTACCTATGAGAACACAATTCGAATGTCTTATCCAGTGATTGTGGAATGATTTACGCTGACCAAGTTTAGTCTGTGCAGCCACTAATCATGCACTTCGGAGTAGACCATTTGGACGACAGAAAATATAGCGAACAAGTAGACACTGATTGCATACTATTACAACCAAATCAATACGGTGCAAGCGACGACAGTCATAACACAATTGTACTATCTATTTCGAGCTAGGTGATTTCTTACCCACCGATCAACTGTTCTTTGCCGGATCCACATATCTCATTCGGAAACAGCGTGGTCATGTTTGAGATTTTTCTTTCTAAACTTTCTTTTTAACCATCTGAATATCACCTTCCTACCACTTGCTATCATAACCATCGTCAAATTTTTTTCGGGGCTTCTGTGGTCAGTTCTCTATTTTCATCTACCTCGTATTCGGGAACCCGAGTAGAGAAACCCTGACAACCGGAGCTCACCCGTTTCTATCCGTTTTCCGAGAAAGGATTAAATATGCCGCGTTCTAACAAACTGTGCCCCTACCCATTGCTATCATTTTATCAAGATGCGTAAAAAAAACTGCCGCTCTAATAGGTGCGACGTGAAGTTAATTGTTCCTTAATTGAAATTTTCACGTGGCAGCTGTACTTCATACCATTCACATCATCATTCATGTCTGAGAACGCTTTCGATCAGCTGACTGATTGCGTGATCTTCAGGCATCCATTCTCGGACATATTGTACTTGAAAAATAACGACAAATTAGATTGAGTACACAGCAAAAATATGCCACAAGGGTCTATGCCCAAAGCCTGATCTTGAAAAAATTATCGGAGTCGGAGGCGTTCGGTTACCCCTTTTCTGCACTTCGCGAAACGCACTCATACGACCACGCGTCTCAAACAGGCTCTGTTGAGGAAGCCCTGCTCATTCTCCTCATGAGGCGGATGTGTTGTCCCACAAACATTCGGGGCCATAACCGGGTCGGTGAATCATCGGCCGTTCACTCAGTAGCGCTGGCGAGAAACTCTGATTCTCTGAATCCAACCAAGAAGAGGTGTACGAACCACACACACACACACACACACCCTGATTGTGGCAGTATTCATCAGTTAATTGAGCACCAATTAGTAATGTGCACTTTGGATATCTGACCCCGTTCAAAGGGCCAGTGATTCGATTAATGATTGGACAATCTGAAAGTATCCTGTCCAAAAGGAAATCAGGGACCTTTTCTGTCATACGAACTGTTGTACCGTGATTTGTTCGGCACTCAGAAGCATGTATGATGTTACAGTGGTTTGGTTGTTGTCCCCGGCGTGCTTTGGACCCGATGGTCTGATGTTCGAACCCCGCCACTGTCACCCACCTTTGGTGGTAGACAGCTTTGCTGTTATCCGGTTCAAAAGCAGGCCTAATCTAGGGAGGTCTTGTGTGGGTCGAACTCACTAAGTCCCGGGGCTTAGGTTACAGGTATCTATCAGAGAACAGCAGTTCTTTGTGACCATGGGGCCCACGCCATCTTCTGCTCATCACAAAAATGTGAGTGATAAGAAATATATATCTTCCTTGATTGGTTCATTAAGAACTGTTATGTAGGCACATGAACCCTTCATCGTATCTTAATTGATGCGATTGCTCAGCCATCCTAAACATATTTACAGTAAACCGCTTGAGCTAACCATTATTACTCTTTATATCTTTGTACTCAATTTACCGTTTTGAAGCTTGATTTATATGGCCGTCACGAAAAATTCACCTCCAACTTGACGCATTGGGTACCGGAGAGATGCACAACTGGGATAGAGAAGTCGTTTTGGTTACGACGATGGGTTATTTTTTCATTAAATGCATGGGTCCTTCATAACCAATACGAGCGCAATCAACCAAAACTACGGGGTCTCCTTGTAAAACACCAAGCAGAAATAAGCGAAAGAATGGTGACAAGCCGGAATGGTCAACGAATCGG